AGTGCACAAAAACTGTGATATATGATTTATAGCATAACCCGCTGCCCTATCAATACAAATTTAACATACAGGTCGCCTAGACGTGGGGAAGCAGTGGTCGGGATGAATATCATGCCAGCAACTGATGATTTGGGCATGTCTGGTACTTCACAAATTTGACGATTTTGTACAATTTCTTTGAAAATGATGAAAGATATGTCTGATTTGGCAGGGTCATGTCGCAGCCAAATGGCAGTCACTCTTTCTGACACAGTCCGGATCGAAAGATGACGATACTCGTGAAATGTATTGATACTTACTATACTAAATATATGATCATATCGAACATCCTTACTGTCAAGATGTATAACCCGAGGTACCGACGGAGCTATTTTGCGGCGTCATGGAAATAATTTGAAATTTTCATTTGAATTTGCAAATGTTGTGCAACCTAGATATATAATATAACCTAGATTTTGTACTCGGGAAAAAGAAAAATATGGCAAATTTGTAGTTTTTTGCAGGTTTTAGGTTTGCTGGTAGCTTTAAGGCATATATTTGGGAATTTTTTAATCGCTGTGAATATAGTGTGGATGTTTGTTCGGTTCCTGAACAACGAAAAATATTCAACTTTATGGATGTATGGATATCAAAAAACCTGAATGGTTTTGTAGGAATATCAATCTAAGGTGCCATAATGATTCTGATGAACGGCAAGTAAATGAATGAATGTTTGGAAACGAGCAATATCTTTTGGTAGAGCTTGTCATCAAGTAGGTGCTTAATGGCTATCTGCAAGAGGTTTATAGGAAAAACACCCAGTTGAATCAGTAAAATCGCATATCAATTGAAGAAAATAATATAAACATGAATAAAAAATCTACAATAGTAATTAAAACATGAATCTAATTCAAAAATCAAAGATTTCTTTAAATTTTGACTGAATTATATGTAATTTCTTAATATTCAATAAGCTGGTGATGTTTCAATGACAAGCTGTCATCTCATACTTTGACAGTATTTTGTTTTCAACATTTCATAGCTATTAGTTGCTAAAATTTGTTGGTTGGAACTTGAAGCTCATTCGTTGTATTTGACGGACTGTTACCCTATAGGTGGAGAATAACGGACTGTTAATTTGACAACCTTGGTGAAATCGACCCTAAGATTTACATTCATTACTTTAGTCCTGAAATACTCGAAACATTTTTGCGGTTGGTCCAGCAATTCTTCGCATAACATTTCAAACTCCTATTTGTCAACCCTACTGGAAAAGAAGGAATCGCCATGCTCTGCTTTTTTCACCATCTTACTGTCAAGGAAATGAAATTCAACTTTGTCTCTATTTGCTGAGTGGCAGAAGCTTTTAATATGTCATAAAACGCGGACAGTGCGACCGCCCTAATGAGGATCTCGGACGTACTCATCAGAACAAGACTTCGTCAGAATTCGTATCCATAGTGACGGTAGCCTAACGTATTTCACAAATAAATATAATTTTTTTTATTTAGCTAAAGCTCCCAATTATAATGTGCAATCGGCAGTGAGTATTTCTTGAGCATGATGACCACTCGGCTCACTATTAACTTGTTTGAATAAAGGATTTGCATAAATCTACATGCATCCGTTGTTTTAATAAGTAAAACAGAAATACAAAACATGGCGCAGTAGTGAAAAATTGTGCGGATTAAGTTTAAAAGCGCAAAAGTGTAAAATCGTGACGCCGGAGGTGTAAAAGTGTATCAATAGTTGAAAGCACCCGGACAAGTCTCAAGACAAAAGAAAATGGCGGTATAGGGGGTCCACCAGTGAAACTTCCGCCAGATTTCAACATGCAAGCTCAAAATGCGGCGAATGAATGGAAATTTTGGTTGACAGCCTTCCAAGATTACCTAGTGGCAATAGAGCAGGATCAAGCACACGACAACGTTAAACTCTCAATCCTGAGGAACAGTATGCTCCCAGCTCACGTTCACGTTGGCAGAAAATTTGGTCAATAAATACGAATAGATGACCGAAGAAATAGGTAAATATGTTAATCCACGGAGAAACGAATGTTTCGAGAGATACTTATTACTGAAAAGAACCCACAAGGAGGGAGAGACATTCGAGTAATTCATAACAGAGTGTAAGCAGCTGATAAAGTAGTGCAATTATAATAAATTAGACCAGGGCCATGAAGATAAACCTCTTAGGGACAAAATAGTAATGGGCATCAGAGATCCCACTACACGAAAGTCACTTACGAATTGAGGACCTAATATTAATAAGGCAATAAATGTGTGTAGAACTTCAGAACAAAGCAAGCAACAGAGTATGCAGTTCCAGAGTCAAGACCCAGTAAATAATATAAATTTGGTCAAGAAAAGACAGGGAAAACAGAATTCCAAGTACGTAAAACAGGAAAAGGAAACCTTCAAGTGTCAAACGAGCTTAAAAACACAAGCCGCTCGAGAATGCCCAGCCTTCGGGAAGAAGTGTGGGAAATGCGGAATCGAAAACCATGCAGAGTGAAAAATATGTGAAATGTAGAACAAAATAGTGCTGAAGGCGAAAATAGTGAAAATGATATTTTCTTAAATAGGGTAATAGAATAAAACTGTAAGTACTTTTACCGAATGTATTCTTGTTGAAAACAGAAAGATTAAAGTAAGGCTAGACGCTAGATACTGGGGCCGATGTAAGTGTGATTCCCCAATCAATCTTTAAGTCTATCAACAAACAATTTAAAATAAGATCCACCCCATATGTTTTAAAAGGATTCCAAGGTACTGAGGCAAAACCTTTGGGTATTGTAAATTTACATTGTAAATATAGAGATAATGACATATATAAAGATTTTCTGATAGTAAACGATGCAAGTACCGATGGGAGGCCAAGCATGTCTAAATTTGAATTTAATAAAAAGAATTGATCATGTGAATTTAAAGTGTATACATAAAGAGGAAAAAGATAAATTTATTAAGGCGAATATTGACATTTTTAGTGAGTTTGGTTGATTCCCTGGGAGGCTCAACATACCTCTTAAAGAAAACTTTATAAATGTATGTCACCCTCCAACAAAAATTGCTTTTGCAATTAGAGATGAGCTAAAGAAGGAACTAGGTAGACTAGTAAAGCGCAAAGCAATTGTGAAAGCTGATGAAGTAAAAGCAGAGGCTGGCATAAATAGAATGGTAATTGTAGAAAAGCCAAGTGGAAAAATCAGACTTTGCTTAGACCGAACTGATTTGAATGAACAGATCATTCGTAAGCCAAAACTAGGCCAAAATATAGAAGAAATTTGTGCAAATTTAAAAGAAAAAATATTTTACTGACCTTGACTTGGCTGAAGGTTACCACCCCATAGTTCTAAATGAAAAATCTTCTTAGAAATGTTGCTTTGGCACACCTTGTGGTACATATAGATTTGTTGTATTACCTTGTGGTCTGTCAAACTCACAAGATCTATTTCAAGATGAAGTAGAAAAACATTTTGCTCAAATAAAAAATGTTGTTGTATGTCATGATGATATGATTATTTCGGGAAAGATGGAACAAGAGCATGTAAATCTTGATGCAACCCCTGCTCAGTTACCAATTAGTAACCAAATGTTAGAACCAAGAGTACAAACAATGTATACAGGGTGACTTTGAAGTTGAGTCATTAATTTTCAGATAATGATTGTAGAAGGAAGATAAACCAAAATATTTGTGTAAAAATAAAAAAAAATTAAAAAAAAATGTTTACCTTGTTTTATAAAGTATCCTCCCGACAAGTATTTCAGTGCGAACCTGTATTTGATCGTGAGGTCCCCTGTGAGGTCTTAAGTCACCTGATTCACGAGCCCGTTGTACTATATACATTAACAAAGGCACGAGGGGTTGGTTGCACTCGATTGGGAAACCGATCCGCATAAACATGTGCCATTTTTTATTTCGTTTGAGCCACGCAACAGATACCACTATTCACTGACACTGACTGTATACAAATAATTGTAAAAACATCTTTTCAAATTCTTTCGCTTTTTTGTTTCCGATGCGATGAACCGATACGGCGGATTATATCCGTTGTCGCCAAACACAACCACATAATATTATTATTGAGACAGGCGGTACTCAAACTTCCAAAGGGCTATAACTTTGTTACTTTAATTTTACCAGGAAAATGGTAAAGAAAAAAAACATTTCTTTTGATCAGATCTACTCACTGTTAAAATAAATGACTCAACTTCGAAGTCACCCTGTATAATAAGCTTGTTAAGTGTAAAGAGAATATGAAAATCAGTATAACAAATCTGCACATAGAAAACCATTAGAGTACAAGAAGAGGGAAAAAGTAATCATAAAAACACCTAAAGAGAAAATATGGCAAAAGGCTATTGTAATTGAGAAGGCAAAAGAACCAAGATCATATTGGGTTAAAAATGAAAATAATAAAATTGTAAGATGGAACACATCTCACATGAAACGTTCATGGACTCAGACTGAATATCAGTTATTATGTGAACCTGAATTGTACCCCAATGATGAAGATGATAATGATGGAGCTAATGATCAACTAAACAATAGTTCCTCTGTAAAACGTAGCAGAATAAGTACATCACAAAGTCAATTGGTACATCTAGATATAATGACAACAGTACCATTGTAACAAGTTATGGTCGTGTGAGCAAACCACCCTAAGGCCGTTTGCACACACACCGACAAAATCGGTGCCGGTAACGATGCCGACATCGAATGTAATGTAATAAAATGAATATTTTCACACGTAGCCCGGCCCGGTTTATTTGACGGTCCGGTCACCGATTCCGATTCATGCAGTCGGTGGTGAACTCGACAATCGGACCACGCACCGGCTTCCGATTTGCCGATTCCACTGTTCTACAATCTATACTTGTCCACACAGGCTCACGCGTTCCGGTGCCGGGGATATTTATGCACCTAAGTTCTTAGTATATCGCTAACCTCGTAGGAAGTGCATACATAGGGTCGTTTGCTGTTGGATATTCATTGTACCTTTCAACTTTTTTGTACTGACAATGAGTAGAATTTTCAAGTATGATGTTGTGACTTTAATCGAAGCAATAGAAAATAAACCTTGTTTGTGGGATAAAACTGCAGATTGCTTCAAGGATAAGATTGAAAAAGAAAAAGCGTGGAAGGACGTGTGTGCGTTTTTTGAAGAAGATTTCCTAGAAAAGGACAAAAAGGAACAACACAAAATAGGTAAGTCAATATACATATATATTGAGCAATAGCAATACACAATTAATATAGTTATTATATTTTGTCCATTTGCCACGGCAACATCCCTTCAGTAGTTACAAAATAATCTGCGAGACAATCTCTCAAATAATTTGCATTTTTTGTTGGCCTAGTACAAGGAGCTATTTGCACATTTGGTAGCTTTTGCTGGCTTACATACATTTCTAAATTGTCGGCATTCCTTATTCGCACCACATTATGTAAAACTACACATGCTTTAACAATGTCTTTAGATAATCGTTTTGATACGTTTAATGCTCTGTGTAGAATTCTCCACTTATTGGAAAGTATACCGAAAGCACATTCAACGTACCTTCTTGCCCGAGTTAATCGGTAATTGAATATTCTTTTTTTCTCAGTAAGATTATGTCCAGCGTAAGGTCGCATTAGGTTTTCTGATAGCCCAAATGCTTCGTCCCCTACAAACACATAAGGAAAAGTATCTTTTCCAGTTGCTTCTAATGGACAGGGTGGTGGGATATGTAACTTGTTTTCCATCATTAATTTAAAAAATACTGTTTGTTGAAATACAGATGAGTCGCAGTCTTTACCATAAGCTCCTATATCTACATATATGAATTTATAATCAGAATCAACCACGGCCATAAGAATAATGGAAAAATAACCCTTGTAGTTAAGGTTCATTGAACCACTATGGGGAAATCTGTTAACTCGTATGTGTTTTCCGTCGATAGCGCCTAAGCAATTGGGGAACTGTGCGGATTTTTTGAAGTTATCTGCTATACGTTGCCATGTTTCCTCCGTAGGCTGCGGGAGAAATTCGTCTTTTCCATAAAGAGTTGCATACCAAACGAACAGTTTTACTTATTGTGCTTATTCCGATTCTATAGTAGTAGTGCATATCAGTAAATGTTGCTCCAGAAGCAAGGTACCTGAAATTTAAAAAGCACTTTTATCAATATATCGCGAACTAAAAAATAAATCTAAAAATTTTAGTTTTGCATAATTTTATTGTACGCTTCTATGATTTTTAATTTTACTTATAGGTGAAGCAATTCGTGGGAAATGGCAAAATATCCGTGACTCTTTTGTGAAGTCATTGAAGAAAAAATTTGGACAAGCCACTACAAAAAAATATATGTACCATGATAACCTAACATTCTTGCTGAAAGTGGTACAATCAGACGACACCAGTGGCGGCTCGTGCCAATTCAGTGAGGTAGTGCCAGAATGGAAGCCATAATTTTGAATCGATTCAAAATTGTAAAGAATAACTTATAACTTACCCCTGATAGTTAGTGGTCAAAGTTCTTGAGGTTCAATAAATCTATATGTCCAAAAAAAAATCAAAAATAAAACTATTTACACACGCGCACCAAATTATAAAACAAGTGTGGAGAAGTACCTATAACTTCAAAGTTTTCTATACATGAAGTCCATTCTTCTTTCTTTTTTGGTAGCAAAGTTTTCGATTACCTTATTATTAAAATTTTCAATGCCACTAACAAAATGTTTTTCTGCAGACAGCATTCCTAAAGCACTAAGCCTTTCTTCCTTCATTGTGTTTCTGAGGAAAGTTTTAATCCGTTTCAGCATTGAAAAAGAGCGTTCTGCTTCAGATGTTGACATCGGTATAGTGATTAAAATACTTAAGAGCTTAAGAGTTTCTTGAAACGTACAATTTAATCCTTCCTCGTTCAATAAAATGGATAGTGGAACAGCTCCAGAAGTAGTACTCAATTCTTCTCTCTGATATAATACTTGTAACTCAGTTTTAAGCCTGTTTTTGTCTAAAAATGAAAATTGTGTGCATGTGTCATTTAAATGTGCTTCAGGAAACTGATGTTTATAAACAGAAAACTTTTCAGACACAAATAAATTAGAAGCAACTAAATGCCCAGAAAAGTTAAATCTTGTTCTTATTTGCGATAATACTGCATCGCATATTTCTAACGCTTCCCGTTTTTTGCTGCCTTCTTCAACTTGCCTTTTTTTCTTGCCGGTTCATCAGTTTCTCTCTGCACTCGTTCAATCTCGTCAATAATGCTATCCATTTGTTCTCGTATAGTTTGAATTGCTGCTTCAAAATTCTCTAAATCATTTTTGACCTTAACAGAATCGGTGCATACTTTTTGTAATTGGTTAAAGACAATTTCAACATGTGGCATTATTTTATGGAATATACTTAGCCAAAATACAAAATTTGTATCTTGCAGCTTTAATTTGTACCCACTGGCTTGATTAATCGACGAAGAATCGCGTGAAGTACTTTCTATATTGTCCATAACTTCAATCAGGTCTTTCCTATTTTCATAAACTGTATGAACACCTCGTGACTGAAAATTCCAACGTGTTTGGGAAGATCTTGGCAATCTGCGATTAACTATTTCATCCAAAATTTTTGTTCTTTGAGGAGACGTCGAAAAAAAGAGCACAATCCAGATAAATTATGGAAAAATATTCTAGCCTGCTTATTGACAGAGCATGCGCTTGTCATAATTAGATTTAACTGGTGTGCATAGCAATGAACATAATTTGCAAGTGGATAAGTTTCCTTAATAATCTTTTGAACGCCATTCAATTCACCACTCATAACAGACGCACCATCATAGCTTTGAGCTATTAATTTGTTTGGATTTTGATCTATTAATGGATTTACAACATTTAAAACGCATGCAGCGATTGATTTGGCATCGTGTCCGTCGGGGACGTAAAATCTCCAAAATCTCTCAACTGGTTGTCCTTTACACAAATATCTGAAAATAATAACTAACTGAAATTCACAGGCTACGTCAGTCGTTTCATCGGCAATTACTGCAACAAAAGGAGAATTTGCAATCTCCTTCTTAACTTCTTCATGATAAACATCTAGCATGCACTCAAGAAGCTCGTTTTGAGTTGTTTTTGAGGTACCCTTGAAAAGTTTGGCACTTTGAATATGGACTTTCAATTCGTTGTCTAATTCGGCGCTAAAATTCACCAGCTCCTTAAATATGCCTCTGTTTTCCGAATTTTCCTTTTCATCGTGACCCCTTAAGGCTAACTCAAATGCTCCACAAAACCTTATACAATTAATAATTTTATTCAATACATATCGATTCTTATCCACTTGATTATTATGTTTAATTAGATCATTGCGATAAGCCGAATTGAGTTGAGTCCTTATATTTAATTTACCAAGAATAGAAAAGCTAAAAACATTATTCATATGGACTTTAGATTTTTCGTGGGTCTTCATTTTATCCCATATATGTATAAGATCATCTGTACCTTTTTTTGACCAAGTCTCGTCACCTCCAAATAGAACACATACAAAACAAAATAGTTTATTCGTTTCTTCACAACCACATATCCAGCTGTTTTTATCGTACACATTTTTATTAAATTTGCGACAGCGCGATTTTGTCCGCTACCACTTTGTTTCTCAATTTTTAAATCGGGTATTGGCCGTCCTAATTCTTTAATTTGCAGTTTTTGATCCAGCGAAAAACCACTAAATGAGTTTTTTAATATCCCGATTTTATTCATTTTCACTAGTTTTAATAAAACAGTAAAAAATATGATCACAAAACAGAGCAGTTCATTAACACTAGACGTACTAAAACAAAAACGTTATTTCTCACTTTTCAGGTAAAAAAAGACCGAAATCAGCACTAGACGTAATCATAACGAAACGACCGACCGAACAAAAACACCGCCGATATCATTTGATAACGAATTACGACTGATGATGTGCCTGGCACAAATTATACTTGTCTTTCGCTATTCACCTCATATAAAAATGTGTATTGTAGCGTTATCTCTGTCGCTCGTATGCGATGGTGGTAAAATTTCTCTCTTTTTATTTGGGCCGGCCCGACATTGGCACAAGTTGATGACGTCAAGGTCAAGGCATGCTTTATATCTCGTCGCGTGGTTCGGGTGCTTGCGGTGTTGTCACGTTGTCAGTGTTGTCACTTCATATAATTTATACCAAAAAAAAATGAAAAAGCAAAAAATAAAGTAAAACATTGAAGATTGAAAAAAATATTCTTTTTGAAGAAGACAAGGTAGTGCCATGGCACCGTGGCACTACCTCACGAGCCGCCACTGGACGACACGCAGTCAAGTATTGATGACACCCAGGATAACGAGCATTCTCTGTTGAAAGAAACCCAAAACGAAGCCGAGAGGGAGTCTGAAGTACAAGTGCAACTCCAAAAAAATATCAACCCTATGCCTGCAGGAAACAGGAAGACATCAAAAAAACCTCGCTTGCAAGAAGATGTAGATAAGAGAATTTTAACAGCCCTAGAAAAGCCACCTGACGAGGATGAGGCATTCTTTCTGTCAATTACTCCATCAGTACGAAAAATGTCAGAAGATGATAAGCTGGAATTCCGCATGAATGTACTTCAATTAATAAAAAATATTAACATGCGTAACAAAATGCAATCGCCAGCATTTGCCAGTCACACATCTACATCAACCTCTCGATCATCAACGCCATTTTCACACAATACATTTCCACTTTCCAATAATTCCAGTAATAGTCAACATGCTCATGATTTTCAACAGAGTCAACAGCAGTGTTTACCTGGTAATCTAGCCCAGCCTACCGATAATAATCCCAGTTCAACTTTATCTGAACCCACTATAACCTTTTTTCAAGACCTCTAACCTATAAACTTGTTAACAAATAAACATTAAAAACAATAAGATGTGTATTTATTTATATTTACTCACCTTATTGTTACTGCGACCATTTCCTTTGGAGGGATACATGCTCTCATTGGAGTATTTTGATGTTTGATACTGTTTAATAATCGTTCCACTATGAAATCGAAAGTATCAATACTCATTCTGAAGTAATTGAAGAATTTCGAGTTGTCTTTCCTAAGTTTCTCAAAAAGCGTGTAGAAGCTACCTTCTAAGTATCTGACAGTCAGCAGAGGATGCACCCAATGTTGTCTTACTTTTTTAGCTTATCGATACTTCCTCCTGAGATACAATAACCCAAGGAGATAACGTTTATTAGAAGCAGAAACATACATCTTTCTTTTACCACTGCCAAACACCGAATAAAATTGACGGCACGGAAACGCCGGTATGTGTGAAATTAAATGTTTTCCGGCACAGGAAACGGTACCGGCACCGGCACCGATTTTGTCGGTGTGTGTGCAAACGGCCTTACGGTTAGATCTTTGTGGGGAAGGTGTTTGAATAAAGTGTGAACCCACCCTAACGTGTGTAATAGGCTTAAGATATTATATGTCGTATAGAATGTAGATTACATCACTTGTCACGTGTCTATCGACCGACGCGTGAAATGTAAATCTACATGCATCCGTTGTTTTAATAAGTAAAACAGAAATACGAAACATAAACAATCTTGAAGCAATATTGCAGGTGGTTGTCTAACAAAGATATGATAAGAGCAAATGCTCGGTGCTGAGCCTCATTATTTATTTGCTCAAGGTTATAAAATATCAATGTCAACAGGTTGCATCCACAATACCATACTAAAATTTGTGAGACGCAACATTCGGGGTATTTAGTGATCTTCTCGATTATTCCATCTATCCATGCACAACAGCTTCATATGGTTATAGACATAGTCACCTAAAGATTGGAGAAAGTTGACCACTTGGCTTGTGGCTTCTGGAAGAATGCCAGATCTTTGTGAGAGTCACATCTTGGAGGGTGACTTCCCTTGAGATGTATGCTGCCTCTCTTTACTAGTTTTGTATTCTTAATTATTCAACATTGAGTAATCTGCAAAGGATGTATAAGGAATCTAATGTGGTTAACTTGGAAGATTATCCTCCCTCAATTCCAGCAGCTTTGCGGTAAACACTGGAATCGATAAGTGCGAAAAAAAATTTAAAACTTATTTTTTGCTGGCTGCATGATATTTCTGGAGAAGATATTGTAGTGTATACAAACTCATCAATACCGAGAATATGAAAATAACCCGCCTAAAAAGCAGAAACAGCAAGACACCAGAATCTTCACAGACAAGTTTACTGCCAAACGTATTATAAATGAAGACGAAATTCATATTGGACTGCCATTGGACTTGTAGGTATTTCAGCAGCTGTTTGAGATGAGTTTATTAATAAGGTTATCGCAATTCAGCGGAAGCATTATGGCTGGCAAAAGGAAAGATTATACCAACGGCGACAACTTCGATCAGTTCTTATAAGTGACAGAGCCGTGCTTGAAATTTCTCTGAAAATGAACGCATTAGCTTGTTTATTTTAAGCGTACTTGTTTCTGAAAAGGAAAGTCCTAACTTTGCATATTCTGAGACAGTGCTCCCTTTCTGAGGCCAGTCTGGAAGAAGCTCCGACATATTGTTTAACATCTCTTTAGTTTATAGGGATTAAGATCCAGTCCTAAGTAATCTTGCGGATAATGCAAAGGAACTGATTAGTACTACGTTCAATGATAGTATTAGCAGGTCATCCCCTCTCCAATGCAGAATCTTTACGGTAGAAACCGGAACAGTTGTGAGGGAAATAAAAAGCAGAAGATATGTTTTGCAGGCCGCGTAATATTTCTGCAGAAGACATCGTACTACACGGCAGCAATTCTCGTTAGTACCGGGAATGTGGAAGGCATCCCATACCGTCGAGATGTGCATTCAGCAGTGTTTTTTGGCATCGCCCTGCGCTACAGGGCCCGGGGCTGCATACCTTCGGGTAAGGCGGCTCATCAAAGGTAGAATGCGGCCTCGGCGATGTGCCATTGTTTTCACACACTGAATCGTCGCAAAAACGAGGGCGGCTGCCGCAGCGGCCGCCTTTGATTCGCATTGCTATCGTCATTTGTTAGCGGACAAACGAGTATCGCTCCGTCCGCGCTTGCCGCTGTCCGGTACTACTCTTGTTACGATCAGACCATCTCAGCAAGGCGTACCACGGCGCCGCTATCCACATCGATTCGAGTGATGAGAGTGAGTTATTATAACGAAGCAGAATGCGAATGTCATCGGTGGTTGGTAACTATTGTTTCCTCTTGAGGGCTTGCATAGTTCGCCTGCCATCATAACAGGAGCTAGATGGCCATTTTTGACTAAGACAACAGCGTCAACAGATTTCCAGATAACTGATGGGGATAATGGGGGCTCTTGTTATAGGAATAAGAGACTATAAGGAACTGCTAGAGTTGCAGATCTCCTGGTATGTGTATATGATTTCCACCGCGCACTGAAGCTTGGATCCATCATTTCACAAAGACATTCTATCATTGTGAAGCCTCTGATCCCTGTAACAAGTGGAAAATTAAATGATAAAAGTCTGATGTATAATGTGCCCATAGTTCACAATAACTGCGGCTACTGCCGACTGTGCATTGGGTAATAAACACTAACTGGTCTGAGGTGGTGTCGTTACTAACACACTGCTACAGGATAAATAGTTATATATTTTAGCAATAACGTATGTCCCAAAAGTTTTGGCACACAATATTTATCGAATTTTTCGTTTTAATGAAGGAGTTTATTCAAACACTAAATAGTTGTCATAAATAACAACTCAATACTTAACTAAGCTATACTATCGAATTATGTGGAGTGGCCCATTCTGCTCTACCACACGCAACTTTTTTCGAATGTCTCTTATGAGGTCCTGCACGAAATTCATATCAATTTGTCTCAGTTTTTCGTAATTTCACCGTCTTAATTGTCATTTTGGGCTTCACAGCCTCCATGATAAACCTTTCTAGACAGAAAAGCCCAAAAATCCTCCAGAGAGCGACCCTGCGGCAAGCTTGGAGGATTATCGTTTTTGGGAACAAAAGGTATGTTGTGTTGTGGGAGCCAGTTTTGGGTATCTCTTGAATAATGGCATAATGCTAGGTCTGGCCAAAACGTGATATGGTCATTGGCATGATGGTCGTGGACAAATTGAAGCGATTTGGAAAGGCAGCTGTCAATATAGCTTTGACTATTCAAAGCTTCACACCTCACTCTTTCCCACGTCAGAAAGTTGGTAAAAATGATCCGACAACTTAAAAAAAATATGGTTGGACGCTCCAAGAACAAAGAAATCGATGAACTAGGGTTCATTTGTTTTTCTTAATTTATTTAAAACTCTGTCTTTGTATACGTATATAAATAAATATTATATATTTTTTCATTATTTATAAACTGCTTCCACAGTCAAATCAATAATGCAATAATGCAGAATTTGTATCTATCCTAAACTTTCAGTTCTACCTAAAATCGGAGAACCATTAGGGTCGATCTGGAATTGATCCCAAACAGATTCGACAGAAATGTGTATTTGGGCGTATACAATACGCCCAACTTATCTGTTTTCATATCTACACATATATTTCCCTGAGTTTTATGTTCCTAAAATGCACCACCTATTTCATCTAAGCTTGTCAATTTGTGTTACTATGTTACGTCTATGATGGTCTGAACAAACCGACATAAATCGGAAACACGCACTTGTGTGATGCAGATATTGTTAAGCAACAGAAAACTTGTGAATAAAAGTTCAAATATTATCGCAAGTTTAATATTTCCCTTGTTTAGGTAGTTGCAGATCTTAAAAATTGATTCAGAGGTGGCGGTAGTAAATTTGCTGTTACACAGTGTTAGAACGTTTCAGAGATTCCTGCTCATTTTCAGACATTGTTGAAGGATTCTATATTGTTGTCTATTGGGTGTCAGTTGTATTATGAAGAAGCGTCTGATCTCAGTGATACTATGCACCTCTTAGACACACTTATTTTACCTACAACTACCATGGAAACAGAAATATGATAGATCTGCTTTGTATAGTTGATGAGGTCGAAGATTTATCGTACCAAAGTGAACGAAGGCATAGGAAGTACAGTCAATATACTTGACGCAATTTTTTAAGATAACTTACTGCTTTGGTAATTTTTTTGAACAGTGGAATTTTGTCATGTTCGACTAATCTCGAAATGAGATCTAATCCCGATCGAATAATTATTTTGAGCATCGCTACCTGATTAGCAACAATCAGTATGGTTCCCGACGTCAGAGATCAAATGGGAAGCTTCTACATTTTTAGAGTAAACTCAACAATAGAAAGGATTCCGATCCATTGTGTATGCTGCACTCCTATGCATCCTTTTATCCTTTATCCACTACTCTTTTGGTATTAACACAGGTAGTCCTACAATTCTCCAATTCCTTTGAAAGTCTTTACAGATATACTACTTCCTTTTCATGCGACATCTGTTGTAATTGGTGCCATCTCGCCTCATCGCAACATGTTGATGCGGGTGTTTTCCAGGGCTGCACTTTAGCTCTAATAGTGTTTGTTACATTCTATTGACGACCCTTCTTGAATGACAAATCTTAGGCAACCCGGGCGAATGACAGTTTTTTTATACTCCAACTACCACGAAGGCCTAAGGCCTAAGCACCCATTGGATACCGTGTGGCTATAGGGGGATACATGGGAAAGGGGGGGAACGCCACACGGACTCTGGCGAGGGAACACGTGTGCATGCAACATGCACACATTCTGGCTCCGCCTATGAGAACCGCCGGGTGGTACCTCCGCGTTCGACAGTCAGAGACCATCTACCACCTACGGACAATCACAACATCCATAGCTAAGGGAAAAATTTCTCCTGGGACCTGACTCGAACCCGCACAGCGCACGGCGACTGATCAGGAGACCGAAGAGTCTACTACTGCGGCCACCGCTGCTGCCTGGATGGGCGCTTTGTATACATCATGTATAATACACCATTGTATACGCGTATACAATGGTGAATATATACGTCTCGAAATACGTATACAATGTATACAATGCATACAATAGCAAATCATAGTTCAAGTACTTGCGTACAGTGCTGGCGAAAGTCGACTTGTGTAGAAAGAGTGCACCACACACCACGTTGCCTGGTACAACAGTGATGAAAGCCACAGAACACGACTGTTAATTGCTCCAATGCCTTGTTATCTACGCCCAAATACACATTTCTGTCGAATCTGTTCAGGATCCATTTCGGGATCGATCCTAATTATTTAGGTGGAACTGAAAGTTCAAGATCGCTACAAATTCTGCAACATTGCATTGTTGGTTTGACTGTGAAAGCAGTTTATAAATAATTAGAAAGGCTATAGATATATAATATTTATCTATATACGTATACAATGATACAGATTTTAAATAAATTAGGAACATTTCTTAAGTAAATTATAACAAAATACTTGTGTGATTTCAATCGAGATATAACGGTATTGGACAACTTTTTTTTGCGGACACTACACTCTACGGAATACGTCTTTCTATTTTCAAACAGAATGAACTGTGTTTCATCGATTTCTTTGTTCTTGGGGTGTCTAACAATATATTTTTAAAGTTGCCGGTTCACTGTTCACCAACCTTCTGACGTTTGCGAATAAACCTAACCTCACTTTTTCTACTTTATACATTACCTTCATCATTGTATACATTCTTTTCATTGTATACACAATGGCTGCATTGTATACACAATGTATACATTGTATACGCATTGTATACATTGTATACGCATTGTATACATTGTATACGTATTGTATACATTGTATACGTATTGTATACATTGTATACTAATTGTATGCATCGAGACGTAGACAATTAGGGTATACGCGTAATGTTGTCTAGGATGGTGAGCCGTTAGTCGATCAATACTACTTGCAGTAATAAATATATATTCCAACAATCTTAAGTAACAAACAAATATAACGTCTTATTGCGCTGCGTTGAATCGGTTGAAAGCATTGGCGTCTTGGCGTCGTGTCATCTTTCCCCAGCCACCGTCGATCTGCCGGTCAGCAGCGACAGACATAGAGTGGGACTGCATCTGCCGGTCAGCAGCGACAGACATAGAGTGGGACTGCACGGCCATCCTGACGTCACGTTCGTCCCGAACGTCTGAAAATATTAAGTTATTTAGGAAACACCTATACCTATTGCCATCAACACCATTTGCTATCGAGGACGACCATTCGTCATCGAGAGCAAAACTTGCCATTGAGGGCGTAACAGTTGCCATCGAGAGCTGAACAGATGCCATTGAGGGCGTAACATTTGCCATTGAGAGCAGAACAATGCCATTGAGGGCGTAACATTTGCCATTGAGAGCAGAACAGATGCCATTGAGGGCGTAACATTTGCCATTGAGAGCAGAACAGATGCCATTGAGGGCGTAACATTTGCCATTGAGAGCAGAACAGATGCCATTGAGGGCGTAACATTTGAGTAGTTCATTACTCACCTTATTGATTTTGAACTTTGAAGGGTTTCATGTGTTCCACACCTACCACAGCTTGATATGGTCGTCTTGACCTCTGTGTGAAACGATCTTCTTGCACTCTATACCTGTCATTGGGTAGAACCTCAACTATCTTGAATGGTCCTCTAAACTTAGGACGTAACTTTTTACTGTCTTCATTCGCTGAAAAGCTGGTTACTTTAGTTAATACCACATCTCCCACCTGGTACAACCTAGGTAGAGAACGTTTAGTGTTAAATTTTAAATCTTGTTCGATTCTATTGTGTTCCAGACGTTTGGCTGTCTCTTTTCGGATTTTTGTAACATCTAGAGTTGTTTCCATATCGTCATCAGGGTATTTGTCACTATCAGTCCGTAGTTGGAAACCAAACATTACTTCTGCGGGCGTGTTTTGTGTAATACGGTGTCTAGTACTATTCAGTCCTTGTTGTATATGTGAAAGATTAGTATCCCAATTGTCTTCACTTGTTTGCGAACCAGATGTTGCTAAAGCGTCTAGAACTGTTCTGTTCGTCCGCTCACATTGACCATTGCCTCTTGGGAGACCAACAGCTGTTGTAAATAACCGTATCCCTCTTGCAGCAACAAATTCCTCGAAGGCCTTTGAAGTAAACGCAGATCCAAGATCCGTGATGAGTCGTCTTGGGTTACCGAGCATCGCGAACATTTCAGTTAACATTTGATTTACGTATTTTGCAGATGTATCAGGAACTGCTTTTAAATACACAAATTTCGAAAAGCCATCAACAACAACTATTAAATACTTGTTTCCCTGTTTTGTGTTCACAAAAGGTCCTAAATGATCTATATGTAGTGTGTGGTGTGGTCTAGCATACTTTGGGATGGAGTGAAGGTACCCGGGTCTTTTGCCCCCTTTATCTTTATGATATAAACAAGGTAAACATGCATTTATGTATTTTGTTATGAAATGCCTCATTCTGGGAAACCAATACCGTTGCTTAATTTTCTCTAACGTTTTATCAACCGCAAAATGACCTATATCGTCATGGTTTGCTTTGACGATTTGCCATCTACACTTCTTTGGGACTACCCATCTTCTCCCATAAGGTGTTAACTTATAGACTTTGTTCCCCCTTAAATCGTAATTATTAAAAACATCTTTGTGACTCTGAACATCCCCACTTAAAAGAATATTTTTAATTTCCACTATGGATTCATCTTGATCCTGTGCTTCCCTGAGATAGTCATCTTCTTGGATGAGTAGGACTTGTGCTTTGTTTTGAGATTCATTAAAGTTTCGGCTAAGTGCGTCTACATGTTGCATCTGAGTACCTGCTTTATGGTGAATGGTAAAAGAAAACTCTTGTAAAGACAAGACCCATCTAGTAATTCTTGGAATTATCGACTGCTTAGATAATGCGTTCTTTACCGCATTGCAATCAGTAAAAATTTGGAACTGATAGCCTACTAAATAAAATCTGAACCGTTCCAAAGTTTTGACTATTGCTAATAGTTCCAACTCAAAAGAATGATAATTTTTCTCAGCGGTATTAGTTTGCCTACTGAAATACGCTATTGGTCTCTCTTTACCATCTGTACTTTGCATCAAAATTCCTGCAAAACCATCACGACTAGCATCCGTATATACGGTTGTCAGTGCTTTTGGATTAAATATTGCCAAAATAGGTTCTGCACAAATTTTGGCTTTTAAATCTTTGACTATTTGTGTGTGAACTTCTGTCCAAGACCACCGACTTCCTTTCTTTAATAGCTTCGTCAATGGGGCGGTAATTCGCGCAAAATCTTTTAAGAACTTCCGAAAATAGCCGACGAGACCCAAGAACTGTCTCAGTTGATGTTGTGTCTTAGGACAAGGAAATTGTTCCACCGCTTCAATTTTCAGGTTGGATGGTGATATTTGATTGTATGAGATTTGATATCCTAGATAAACTATCTTCTCTGTAAGAAAAGAACACTTTTCGATTTTTATTACAATACCATACTCCTGTACAATTTTCAGTACCTTAGGCAATAAATCTAACCCCTCCTCTATAGTCTTTGACGGTATTAAGATGTCGTCCAAATAAGGAACCACATTAAATTTTCTTAAAGGCATAAGGATTTCATTCATAAATTTCTGAAATACCAATGGGGCATTACAAAGCCCAAACGGCATACGAACGTACTCAAAATGCCCTTCAGGTGTTATGAACGCTGTATACTTCATTGAAGCAGGCTCCATCGGTATTTGATGGTAACCTGATGCTAGGTCAAGCGAGGTAAAATACTTGTAATCACTCAAATTATCAATAATTTCTTCGATTAATGGCATTGGAAAATTATTTTTAACAGTTATTTTGTTTAGCGCCCTGTAATCGACAACTAGTCGTTTGTCATTAGTTCCTTTATTGACCAGAAGAGCAGGACTGGCATATGGTGAATACTTTCACGTATGATTTTAGCCTCCAAAAGTTCCTGTACCTTACCTCTCATGATTTGTTTTTCTATCTCTGCTAATCGATAGGTCTTATGAGTGACTGGTTTGTCATTGACCAACTCTATTTTTAATGAAACAGAGTGTGCCTTCCCCAAATTATTCAAATTCAAAAATATACAACCTTGATATTGAATTAGAATATCCTGCAGAGTCTTATTATCTTGTTCTGACAACACCCCTGTTTTGACATTTTGCAACCACTGTGGCTTTTTGTCCTTTATTTTGAATATCAACTTGTCATCTATTGCAGTCCCACTCTATGTCTGTCGTGCAGTCCCACTCTATGTCTGTCGCTGCTGACCGGCAGATCGACGGTGGCTGGGGGAAGATGACACGACGCCAAGACGCCAATGGGCCAATGCTCTCAACCGATTCAACGCAGCGCAATAAGACGTTATATTTGTTTGTTACTTAAGATTGTTGGAATATATATTTATTACTGCAAGTAGTATTGATCGACTAGCGGCTCACCATCCTAGACAACATCAGAAGTGGGTGTTTTACGGTGGTTCCCAATTTTAGCAAATATTCTGCAGGCTGTTGTTTGCTCAGAGATTGGACAAGATGCCAAAGCAAAAGCAAAGGAAATCCAGAAAACGAAGTAGAAGAGAACCTTCCTCGTCTTCAACAACCAGTAGTTCTTCCGGCAGTTCTAGCAATAGTAATGGGCATAAACATAAGAGATCCAGGTGTAAGTCAAGGGAAACCGTGAGTAGCGAACATTATTCTACTTTTACGAGGGCCGATCAGGGAATACATATTTCGATGGTAATTCCAGAATTTGATCCGAAAATTAATGACATATCAGAGTGGTTAGAGGTTATCAAATATAATGCAGATATTTACAAGTGGCCTGATAGCCTTATTAAGTGTCATGCTTTGAATAAACTCAAGGGTACAGCCAAAACCTGGTATGACAGTTTCATTCAGGGTGACTTGGGGTGGTCTAGTTATGCTTGGGGCCAGTGGGAGGATATATTGAAAAATACATTCCAGAGTACACGTAATGCTCATCAACTGTTGATGGAAATGGTAAATCATAGACCCAGCGAAGGTTGTTCGTTATATGATTTTTGTTTTGAACACATAGCGAGAATAAATAAGTTACGAGCAGGATTTTCAGATTGTGACAAGGTATCATTAATTATAGGTGCTATAAATGACGTTAATATAACATCAGCTGTGGAGGCAGCAAATATTCGAAATCCTCATATTTTGGCGGCATATCTGAAGAACAAAACTTATACTGGTAGGGGCAAACCGTTAAAATCAGAGGTGCAACAGTCAATCAATCAAAGTGGTCGATTGGGAGCATCTGACAATATAGTCCGGTCAAGTACGATACATCAAAATGTAAATTGCACCACATGTGGCAACAGAGGTCACGAGCGGAATGATTGTAAACATAGAAATAAGATATGCAATTTTTGCAGAATTAAGGGGCATATTGAGGTGAATTGTTTCAAGAAACGAAAGAACTCAAGTGAACCAGGCAGATGGGATAATTCAACTAAGTCTTCAAAAGTAAAACAAAAAATTGAACAGGTCAAATTAATTAAAAGTCAGAATAGTGCTTCAAAATTTTTCAAAAAAATATTTCTTGATGGGAATTTAATAGAAGCTTTTGTGGATTTTGGTAGTGATTGTTCTCTAATAAAATTGGCAATAGTGCAGGAGCTAGGGTTAACGTTGAAACCTCTTGGGGAGAAGGTAACATTGTCAGGATTTATGGGTATAGGGACTGTTGTTACGCAATTTGTTGAGGTAATGACCCAAATTGATCAGGTGAAACTTAATACAAAATTTTATGTGGTTTCTAATGAAAGTGTAGACAATGATGTTCTTGTTGGGAGAAATTTCACAGAAAATAATACTATTATGTATTATCGTATAGATGACAAGTTGATATTCAAAATAAAGGACAAAAAGCCACAGTGGTTGCAAAATGTCAAAACAGGGGTGTTGTCAGAACAAGATAATAAGACTCTGCAGGATATTCTAATTCAATATCAAGGTTGTATATTTTTGAATTTGAATAATTTGGGGAAGGCACACTCTGTTTCATTAAAAATAGAGTTGGTCAATGACAAACCAGTCACTCATAAGACCTATCGATTAGCAGAGATAGAAAAACAAATCATGAGAGGTAAGGTACAGGAACTTTTGGAGGCTAAAATCATACGTGAAAGTAATTCACCATATGCCAGTCCTGCTCTTCTGGTCAATAAAGGAACTAATGACAAACGACTAGTTGTCGATTACAGGGCGCTAAACAAAATAACTGTTAAAAATAATTTTCCAATGCCATTAATCGAAGAAATTATTGATAATTTGAGTGATTACAAGTATTTTACCTCGCTTGACCTAGCATCAGGTTACCATCAAATACCGATGGAGCCTGCTTCAATGAAGTATACAGCGTTCATAACACCTGAAGGGCATTTTGAGTACGTTCGTATGCCGTTTGGGCTTTGTAATGCCCCATTGGTATTTCAGAAATTTATGAATGAAATCCTTATGCCTTTAAGAAAATTTAATGTGGTTCCTTATTTGGACGACATCTTAATACCGTCAAAGACTATAGAGGAGGGGTTAGATTTATTGCCTAAGGTACTGAAAATTGTACAGGAGTATGGTATTGTAATAAAAATCGAAAAGTGTTCTTTTCTTACAGAGAAGATAGTTTATCTAGGATATCAAATCTCATACAATCAAATATCACCATCCAACCTGAAAATTGAAGCGGTGGAACAATTTCCTTGTCCTAAGACACAACATCAACTGAGACAGTTCTTGGGTCTCGTCGGCTATTTTCGGAAGTTCTTAAAAGATTTTGCGCGAATTACCGCCCCATTGACGAAGCTATTAAAGAAAGGAAGTCGGTGGTCTTGGACAGAAGTTCACACACAAATAGTCAAAGATTTAAAAGCCAAAATTTGTGCAGAACCTATTTTGGCAATATTTAATCCAAAAGCACTGACAACCGTATATACGGATGCTAGTCGTGATGGTTTTGCAGGAATTTTGATGCAAAGTACAGATGGTAAAGAGAGACCAATAGCGTATTTCAGTAGGCAAACTAATACCGCTGAGAAAAATTATCATTCTTTTGAGTTGGAACTATTAGCAATAGTCAAAACTTTGGAACGGTTCAGATTTTATTTAGTAGGCTATCAGTTCCAAATTTTTACTGATTGCAATGCGGTAAAGAACGCATTATCTAAGCAGTCGATAATTCCAAGAATTGCTAGATGGGTCTTGTCTTTACAAGAGTTTTCTTTTACCATTCACCATAAAGCAGGTACTCAGATGCAACATGTAGACGCACTTAGCCGAAACTTTAATGAATCTCAAAACAAAGCACAAGTCCTACTCATCCAAGAAGATGACTATCTCAGGGAAGCACAGGATCAAGATGAATCCATAGTGGAAATTAAAAATATTCTTTTAAGTGGGGATGTTCAGAGTCACAAAGATGTTTTTAATAATTACGATTTAAGGGGGAACAAAGTCTATAAGTTAACACCTTATGGGAGAAGATGGGTAGTCCCAAAGAAGTGTAGATGGCAAATCGTCAAAGCAAACCATGACGATATAGGTCATTTTGCGGTTGATAAAACGTTAGAGAAAATTAAGCAACGGTATTGGTTTCCCAGAATGAGGCATTTCATAACAAAATACATAAATGCATGTTTACCTTGTTTATATCATAAAGATAAAGGGGGCAAAAGACCCGGGTACCTTCACTCCATCCCAAAGTATGCTAGACCACACCACACACTACATATAGATCATTTAGGACCTTTTGTGAACACAAAACAGGGAAACAAGTATTTAATAGTTGTTGTTGATGGCTTTTCGAAATTTGTGTATTTAAAAGCAGTTCCTGATACATCTGCAAAATACGTAAATCAAATGTTAACTGAAATGTTCGCGATGCTCGGTAACCCAAGACGACTCATCACGGATCTTGGATCTGCGTTTACTTCAAAGGCCTTCGAGGAATTTGTTGCTGCAAGAGGGATACGGTTATTTACAACAGCTGTTGGTCTCCCAAGAGGCAATGGTCAATGTGAGCGGACGAACAGAACAGTTCTAGACGCTTTAGCAACATCTGGTTCGCAAACAAGTGAAGACAATTGGGATACTAATCTTTCACATATACAACAAGGACTGAATAGTACTAGACACCGTATTACACAAAACACGCCCGCAGAAGTAATGTTTGGTTTCCAACTACGGACTGATAGTGACAAATACGCCCTCAATGGCATCTGTTCTGCTCTCAATGGCAAATGTTACGCCCTCAATGGCATCTGTTCTGCTCTCAATGGCAAATGTTACGCCCTCAATGGCATCTGTTCTGCTCTCAATGGCAAATGTTACGCCCTCAATGGCATCTGTTCTGCTCTCAATGGCAAATGTTACGCCCTCAATGGCATCTGTTCTGCTCTCAATGGCAAATGTTACGCCCTCAATGGCATCTGTTCTGCTCTCAATGGCAAATGTTACGCCTCAATGGCATCTGTTCTGCTCTCAATGGCAAATGTTACGCCCTCAATGGCATCTGTTCTGCTCTCAATGGCAAATGTTACGCCCTCAATGGCATTGTTCTGCTCTCAATGGCAAATGTTACGCCCTCAATGGCATCTGTTCAGCTCTCGATGGCAACTGTTACGCCCTCAATGGCAAGTTTTGCTCTCGATGACGAATGGTCGTCCTCGATAGCAAATGGTGTTGATGGCAATAGGTATAGGTGTTTCCTAAATAACTTAATATTTTCAGACGTTCGGGACGAACATGACGTCAGGATGGCCGTGCAGTCCCACTCTATGTCTGTCGTGCAGTCCCACTCTAGGTCTGTCGCTGCTGACCGGCAGATCGACGGTGGCTGGGGGAAGATGACACGACGCCAAGACGCCAATGCTCTCAACCGATTCAACGCAGCGCAATAAGACGTTATATTTGTTTGTTACTTAAGATTGTTGGAATATATATTTATTACTGCAAGTAGTATTGATCGACTAGCGGCTCACCATCCTAGACAACACTATACGATAATACATAATAGTATTATTTTCTGTGAAATTTCTCCCAACAAGAACATCATTGTCTACACTTTCATTAGAAACCACATAAAATTTTGTATTAAGTTTCACCTGATCAATTTGGGTCATTACCTCAACAAATTGCGTAACAACAGTCCCTATACCCATAAATCCTGACAATGTTACCTTCTCCCCAAGAGGTTTCAACGTTAACCCTAGCTCCTGCACTATTGCCAATTTTATTAGAGAACAATCACTACCAAAATCCACAAAAGCTTCTATTAAATTCCCATCAAGAAATATTTTTTTGAAAAATTTTGAAGCACTATTCTGACTTTTAATTAATTTGACCTGTTCAATTTTTTGTTTTACTTTTGAAGACTTAGTTGAATTATCCCATCTGCCTGGTTCACTTGAGTTCTTTCGTTTCTTGAAACAATTCACCTCAATATGCCCCTTAATTCTGCAAAAATTGCATATCTTATTTCTATGTTTACAATCATTCCGCTCGTGACCTCTGTTGCCACATGTGGTGCAATTTACATTTTGATGTATCGTACTTGACCGGACTATATTGTCAGATGCTCCCAATCGATCACTTTGATTGATTGACTGTTGCACCTCTGATTTTAACGGTTTGCCCCTACCAGTATAAGTTTTGTTCTTCAGATATGCCGCCAAAATATGAGGATTTCGAATATTTGCTGCCTCCACAGCTGATGTTATATTAACGTCATTTATAGCACCTATAATTAATGATACCTTGTCACAATCTGAAAATCCTACTCGTAACTTATTTATTCTCGCTATGTGTTCAAAACAAAAATCATATAACGAACAACCTTCGCTGGGTCTATGATTTACCATTTCCATCAACAGTTGATAAGCATTACGTGTACTCTGGAATGTATTTTTCAATATATCCTCCCACTGGCCCCAAGCATAACTAGACCACCCCAAGTCACCCTGAATGAAACTGTCATACCAGGTTTTGGCTGTACCCTTGAGTTTATTCAAAGCATGACACTTAATAAGGCTATCAGGCCACTTGTAAATATCTGCATTATATTTGATAACCTCTAACCACTCTGATATGTCATTAATTTTCGGATCAAATTCTGGAATTACCATCGAAATATGTATTCCCTGATCGGCCCTCGTAAAAGTAGAATAATGTTCGCTACTCACGGTTTCCCTTGACTTACACCTGGATCTCTTATGTTTATGCCCATTACTATTGCTAGAACTGCCGGAAGAACTACTGGTTGTTGAAGACGAGGAAGGTTCTCTTCTACTTCGTTTTCTGGATTTCCTTTGCTTTTGCTTTGGCATCTTGTCCAATCTCTGAGCAAACAACAGCCTGCAGAATATTTGCTAAAATTGGGAACCACCGTAAAACACACACTTCTGATGTTGTCTAGGATGGTGAGCCGTTAGTCGATCAATACTACTTGCAGTAATAAATATATATTCCAACAATCTTAAGTAACAAACAAATATAACGTCTTATTGCGCTGCGTTGAATCGGTTGAAAGCATTGGCGTCTTGGCGTCGTGTCATCTTTCCCCAGCCACCGTCGATCTGCCGGTCAGCAGCGACAGACATAGAGTGGGACTGCAGTAAGCGCCCATCACTGGCGAATGGCCGTACCGATCTGAAATATTCGATTCAATAATAATAAGTTTATTTCCAACAGGCAGATACTCCCAATTGCAGGGAATATCAATAAACATCAATAAAGCACAGTAAACAAATACATAGATGCGAATAACAATATATAAGTAGATAATCAACAATAACATACTGCCTTACAACTTTATCAAGGTAATTCGGTGCCGCCAGATTTGGGGTCATTAAATATACTCAGTGATATTAGAAGTGTTACAAACAAAAATTGAGTAATGTGTTGGGCGACCCCGCAGCTAAATACACTCCTGTATACGTCTAGGCATCGACAAAACGAGATGATCGATTGTCTGGTTGTGGCACCTCATTCCAAGCAACTCGATCTTCGTGGATTAGCTGAGCCAGAGTCTGGGGCGGATGGTGCAAAGTAGATAGTCTCCTCCCCATCATATGTTCGATGGGATTTAAATCCGCTGAACGGGGTAGCCACGGAAAAACGCTAACGCCTGCAACTTGTAGAAAGTCCGTAGTATGACGAGCAATATGGGGACGTGCGTTGTCTTGCTGAAAAAAGGACGTGAGGACGGCCCTCTGGATACGGCAGTAAAGTGGTTTGTAGGACATCATCAACATAACGCGCAGCAGGCATATTGACTTGAGCAAAGTGAAGGGGGATCGGCTACCATAGACAACAGCCCTCGAAACTATTACTGCAACAGTCCTGTGAACATGCCTCTCAACATCAAATCCAGTGCCACTGCGCTCTCCTCGGCGACGTCTTACCCTTCTACGACCATCGTGCGTACCTAGACAGAATCGCGATTCGTCACTGAAGAAGAAATTATGCCATTCTGCCTCCTAATGTTGCCGTTCTCTTCTCCAGTTCAAATGTTGGCCTTCTTCGTGTTCCTTTACCTTCTTCTATCGGCACACGACACACACGCATTACCATCATTGCAGTAAAATTAACACGGCGCCCAATTTCGCGATAGGACAAACCAAGTACCCTAGCCCTCGGGAAGCAAACGATGTATTGTTATTCATATAACCATTAAAATGTAAACTTGGCATCAAATATAACACCTAGGTCTTTTCAACTTTACCTGTTTAATACTGCAGTCCTTATGAAGCATGACATTTTGTTTCCTACAATATGTTACTATTTTACATTTTGACACATTTAGTGTGAGCACGTTTTTGGAGATAAGGAGACTGTTCTTTCTCTGATTCTAATGACTATTACTGATTGGAGCTCATGTGGAAGTGTAACACCGCTAAGACACGCTGTTCGCTACACACTAATGGTTTTCATACTAACATGACGAATTCGTTTCATAGCTTCGCGAACGACAGTGCTTAACATGAGACCTACCTGATAAAAGGCATCAAAGTTAGCGCTGGCTACTTTGCAGGAATATGGTGCAGATTAATGCATCTAAGACACAGTACTTACATTTTTCCGTAGCTTGTCGTAATGTCTTTCGCCTCTACTGTGGCTGCTTTTGAGCTTTCCAAATGGAACGAACAAATTCGGACAATTCTTAGTACAATTTAAAATGTACTGCTACTTGTAACTTAGGTACTTACCAGCCTAGATGTCTTAAAATAGGGTTTTCGACCTATCTATTCTTTAAAATTGCAAGGATCTAGTTTCGAATTTTTCATGAAATTGGTTTGTTTAGATGTTTGATTGAGATGTTCATGGGTAGACAAATTTTTGATCTATCGCACAAGCTGAACTCCTTAAGAGTGCATTTCACATACATTTTGACGGTCAATTAATTCAATCAGTTATCGGTCAGAATATGATCGATTTCAATTGAAGTTTAGAATGGAATCATGTAAACAAAATTGTATCGTAAATAGGTAAACATCGATTTGTCAAATAGTTACCAATCAGAAGAGGCAAATGATAAGGTGAATATCTAGCTATTACTTCTATAAGCATGAACTTTTTGCTTTTGGAAGATCCGTCAATACGTGGCAGGGAGGATCTTGAGCTTTTAATCTTTTAAACAGAGGGTTCGCTCGTATTATGTACTAAGGGTAGATTTCACCACAGTCAACAGTCCGTTATTCTCCACCTATAGTGTAACAGTCCGGCAAATACAGCTAATGAGCGTCAAGTACCGATCAACAAAATTTAGCAACCAATAGCTATGAAATGTTGAAAACAAAACATTGGCAAAGTATTATTAGAATAAAATCGTAATTTATAATTGATATTTCTTACAAGGCGTCCAGTTTTTGCACCTATTTTTAAAATCACTGCTATGTAAGGTTTTTGAAAATTATTTAGTTAGTGAATGATTATTTATTAATATTACAACGTAAACTGTGTAACGGGTGTCCAGTTATAAATTGACCCCTCAAAGTTTTCTATATGACCTTCTAGAAGAAAAAGTTGTATATAAAAGTAATAGTGTCTAATATGTTATATTTTTTTGGGTCTTGGAAAGGTGCTATCGAATAAAGTTGTATTTTCTTAAATGCTTTAACAAACCAATTTTCGTTAATTGGACAGAAACTTGAAGTCATTCATCCTAGTTCGAACCTATTTGAATCATTTGGTTTCCATCTAGCAGCCTATGCAATCAGGTATAGTACCGGCACGGGTATTACGTATCTTGAAAAGTGACATTATGTCGATTTATTTTGACATTGTATTGGGTTTCTGTGACATTATGTAGGTTTTTTATAATATGTTAACTTAGCGCTAGCTGATGGACACGTTGTGAACTCGTTTTGTAGTTCTACGTGTTGCATAAACGTCATGAGGCTTCAGTTATCAATGTTTGGCTCTGATGTGATGTAAAATCTGCTTCAGAGATGGCATTATTGGAGGCATAAGCTGTAACTTGTATATTATATATAGAAGAAAACGGTAATGCATAGGCGCATGGTGAGGATTTGTGTGCTAATAATATATATTGATGATAATTCCATTGGTTTCTTAAAAATACACTTATTCGAGATTCAAAGCTAGAAATTAATTGTGTATCCACATTATCTTGTCCATCCTGGAAATTACATATGCATATTTGCTGAATTTCAAAAATGAGAGAGATAAGCAATAATTATATTCACTGTACACTGTTCCATAATAAGAGACTAGTAATTCTGTAGAGATTTACCAAAAATCGGCGTGAATGAAAGCCAAACCAATCATTTAAATTTAAATGAGTTTCTATGTCATTCTGTGAAAACTGCTTCTAAACATATAGGAGTTTTCGTCAAAACCACGACGATATGCTAAGTGTACACAACGCGGGAGCGGTGGTGATTTCTCGTAAGTCTCCTCAAACTTTTTGATAACATAAGAAAGCGTCAAAAATCGTAATTTATGACTTTGAACATAACCTGCCTTCAGAAAGGACAACATAAATAACCCGTCGGGCACAGCTAATAGCTATACTTCATTGGCAGCATATTCAGAAATGATTTTCTCACACAGGAAATATCACTGATTTTATACACATGCAGACCAATACACATAATCCAGATGCAATCTTGCTATTCAACCAATTTTGTTCTCAGAGATGAAAACTACAGACTACTTCACAAAACATATGCAACCAACAATGCGTGTAGTTGAGCCACTCCTCCATAGATGGACGCTCACAACAATTGAGCAAACTTGGAATGACTGAACCCTAGAAGTTACCTAGTCTGAAAGATGACATTTTATAGGATTTTTTATGTTTCGTAGATTTTTTACAAAATACCCATGCCGAATACATATTAAATCATACAAACTTCAAGTTCTTGACTAAATTAATAAAAATAAGTTAAACAAACCATATATCATAAAAAGGGACTAAAATATACAGGGTGTTTCAGTTAAAAAATACAAATTTATTTGATAGTACTTTTCTGTATACAAGAAAATATTCCGTGGAAAACTTCATATTAGACATTCTAACTTGTATATAAGACATTTTCTTCCAGGAGTAAAGAATGAGTTCAACTTATAGCCTGATACCCTGTACATTTTTAAAACAGTTTTTAAGTTACTTTTCACATGCTATAAATCAATAATATAGATGTGAGAATGTGCGTCTCCCTTTTGCCACTTTCTTTTCCATCATTATATAATAAACTTGAGAGAACTTTGGAGAGCCCTACCTTGCGTGCATAGTTAATCTGTTCTGCTCAAGTCATCCTAATTCATTTCCATGACAGCAAAGCCTCTGAGGACAATAGCAAATAGATGCGAGTCTATTTCCATTCCATTTACCAATGCTATAAACTGGGAGTGTACCCGTCCTACACCCATAAATGCATGATTATTGTTCTAGTGATACTGTTCAGTCCCACGCTGTCTTTTTCTCTGACCAGAGACCGTGGCACTTCCTCCGTCTGTGTTGGGTACGACTTGACGCTAGACCGGACGAGACTGCGACTCTCCCTTCCTGATGCGTTGACAAGATACGGTGTTCGTGGTACCACTTGTCGTAAATCTCTAAATCTTAGGTGCTGTCACGCGTGAAAACGCAAAGGTACTTCCGTCCCTACTAACGCTGTGATCGTACAATTTTTGTGTGTTTGGTCCTAGCTGTGGCTTTTCTGCTTTTGAGCGTACGAGAGCTTATATTTGGAAGGTACGAAAACTACGATAGAAGCACTCCAAATCCCTCGTAGAGTTTAGTAAATGCCAACATCATTGGAAATTACACTTACTTTAATATAGGGGTCATCAAAGAAAACAATAAAAAGACACTTGTCAACAACGATTTCAGAGTAGGTAGAAGCAACCAGTCAAGGATTTCGTCTTGTAATTGAATTTAGTTCGCTTATTAGTCCAAAAAGATCTACAATATACAGATATTTGACAAGTCACGACGACCATATACCTATCACATAGTCAATAAGTAAATGACATAAATAGATAAAAAATTGGACATGTAAAACACCTTAAAACTTTCCACATACAAGACACTCCAAACAACA